GCCGGGCGCCCCTGGCAGTCGCGGCGCCTACCTTTACCCTGGCACCGTCTACACCCCAGGACAGCTTAGTGCCTCGGGTCATCGCAGTCCCTCCCAGCCAACTTGGCGCCACTGACCTCGCCGACGCCCGAGCCCCCAGCACCTCAACGACGCCTGGGTTGAGGTGGCCCCGCGGCGAGGGAATGTCTGGAGCTGGCCGGTGCCGCTCCTCCTTCCTGTGTAGTTTGCAAAGCTTTCTAATAGTGAGTTCGGTGTGGAGCACGTGGTGGGGCATTTCTGGGCATACCCGATTTGCCGGGGGTCTCGTCCGGCCGCCAGACTCTCCCCCAGACTCTCACTCAGGTGTCTGGAGAAGCCCGCGGGGTCCCCCGTTGCGCGCGCGCTTCGGAGCCGTGGCGGCTCGCACTGGCGACTTCCCCGAGAGCCCCCGTTTAGCAGAGGGGTCCGCGGCGAATGGGTCCCGGGGCACAGCTTTCCAAGATTCCTAATCCCAATCGCTCTCCTAGTGTTAGCGTTCTCCCCAACTACTTTTTCAAATAACGCTTACACCCCCACAACAGAAAGACGAAGACACTAGAGCGGGCGCTGCAGAAGCAAAGTCAGTCACCCAGTTGTCCTCAAGCCTGGACCTTGTCATGTTCACTTTGGGCGCGCTCTTTGTGTGTCTGCACCACACTTTCCCTGTGCGCAGGTGCGGACTGGGATTGTAGCTAAGCAGCGCGGTGTTCACATGTTGAGTGTGAACCCGGGCGGAGTTGCGCCCTGGAGGTCGCCGGACTCTCTCAGTCTTCTCGGTGCGCGGGCTCCGCGGTGCTGTCTGCGCGCCCCTTCCCGAGGTGGCCGACAGGGGGCGCCGCTGGCCCAAGATTGGAAGAAGACGCTTTCGCCGCTCCAGCACGGTTGCTGGAGGAGCAAGCAGTGCGGAGCAGTGGGGAGCAGCGGGGTCCCCGCGCAAGGGGACCCCCGTACACCCTGGGGGCGGTGGCTGTTTCCCTTCGAGGTGGACGGTTGTCCTGGCGCTGTCTCGTGTAGCTCGCGGCGGGAGCAGCACAGCCGGGCCTCCGTCCCTTCCTGCCTCAAGCACGCAGCTCGAGGTGAAGCTCGCATCCCTCCCCGTCCCTGTCTCCCCAGATTTATCTACCCAGGGAACGCCGGGTTAGTTCTCCCTTCCTCACCTGGAGCGCATAGGTCAATAACATTAACAGGTAGCCCTCCACAAAGGAAAAGAGACCAAAACGAGGCGCGTGGCGGTCCCCGCTTCCGTGCGCCCCCCCCACCCCCAGCGCGGGTCTCCCCTCCCCGTCTCCTCCCGGGGTGCCGAGGCTGCACCCAGCCCTGCTGGCGGTGGGTGACTGTGGGACACTTGGTGCGCCCCGGTTTCTTTTCTCCTCTGTCGCTTCCCTGTAGCTAGCTGCATGAATCTGCTCTGACAACCGAGGACAGGGCCTCTGGTTGGATTGGGAAATTAAAAGGAAACAAAACAAATCCCTCAGAGCTACAATTGTTCCTTAAATAACCGCGGAGACCTTGACTCGGAAATCAGAGCCGCGTTCGGTATCGCAGGAGTCTTCGGGTTTCTCGGCGCGGCACAATGTTACACACAGGGCCGGCTGATCGCTGGCGACTGTAGCGCTTTCGCCCGGCTTTATCATCTGGCTTGGGGGCCGGGGACGCTCACAAGGAATATCTTTTAGGGAAAAGAGGCTAAAAATAAGTTCTCGCCCTTGATTCTCTTCCTTTTAAATTAACAGCCGTGCTTTTGAGCCGCGGGCGCTCGTTTGGAGAGCAACTCCTAGGGGGCGCCGGAGAGCCGGGCGTCCGCAGTGGCTGGAGACCGCGGGGGAAAAAAACCCAAGTTACTCTGCAATGTTCAAAGGATACATTTCTATAACAATGTTTTATATAGACTGTCACCACCTTTATCCTGACATCTTGCAGCAGCAAAGAAACCCGCGACAGTGACGTGAGGAGAATTGTGTTTTAGTGTTTAGCTTTTTTTATTTCGTAAAACTGTAGGGACCCCCCACCCCCAGCCCACGTACTTGTTGAAATCTTCTTTTGTGACATGGTAATGAAGTGTCAACCTTTCAATTAGCCTGGTGTCTGTGGTTACGACATAGGCGAGAATGTTGAGCGGGAGAGATGACCACCCCTCTACCGAGCATACTTGCATGCAATCACTAGTAATTGTGAAACGGTGCGTAACCCTCGCAGTCCTGCGCAGGAGACTGGACAGGGCTCTTTGCGCTCCCAGAAGCGCTGACCCGAGTATCGTTGTGAGCCCTGCGGCCATCCTGCTTATCTTCCCCAGGTGACACTGACCTCTCGCTTCTGCAAGCCCCTTCACTGCCGTGGACACTTGGTGACCCCCTGACTCTGGCTTCCTGTCTTCTCTTTGCTCAGGACCTGCCTGGACTTCAGCTCTGGGTGTCAGTCCCGAGGCCCTGCTGACAGCAAGCGCCATCTCTTGTGTCCCCAGAGGTGCGGCTGTGTCAGGTTTACTGACCACGAGGCTTGGTCACAATGGTCCAAACAACTGGACGCAAGTGATGTTGGAAACCCTGTTTTCAGGACTGTCACGCGGCCTAAGCTTGAGAATTTCCCGCAAAGGACAGGAGCCTGGCTCTCCCTTTCTTACGGCTTCTATCTTCATGTTACCCTGAGTCTCGCGCGCTCCTGGGGCCTTGGAGAGGTGACTGAGTCCTGGGGCGTGACGCTCATCCCTGGGTTAGTCCGCTGGTCAGTTTGTGGCTGAAGGCGCCGTTGGGAGGCGGGGCCTGGTCAGAAGAACAGAGCACCGAGGTCCTGGCCTGGGAGGGTCTATCCCCCTTCCCTGCCTCTGCTTTGACGCTCTCTGCTTCCTATCCACCCAGCCAGGAGCTGCTGCCCCTCTGCCCTGCCCCTCTGCCCTGCCGCCCTGCCCAGTGCCAGCTCTCTATGGACTGAAACCTCTACAAACTGTGCACCAAGCTAACCCTTTCCTCCCTTGAATGTGAGCACTGGATATTTTGTCTGCAATGAGAAAATGACTAGGACACCCTCCCTCTGAACAGCTGCAGGGAGCATCTCCCAGCTCAGAGGTACTTTCGGAGCCACTCACTGCTACCGCCAATGACTGTTACCCCTGAGGGAGGGAGGGAGGCAGGAGGATCGGGGCGTGCACACCCGGGGTGCAGCTCTGCGGGCTGGGCTGGTGGGGACATTGCAGCCTTGGGATGCAGGTCTGGGGGAGGTGGACGTCTGAGAATCGGAAGAGAAGACAAGGCAACTGGATACAATGCACTGGCAAAGGTGCCACTGGTGACGCTGGGAATCCTCAGGGCGGGTGCTGCCCGTGTTGGGCACACTGTGGAGGAGGATGGCAACTTCCAGAGGAAGGGCATGGCCGTGTTCTCAGCACATGCCCGGCCTTCACGGGATCCCACTCCCGCAAGCTTCTGCACGGAACATTAGTGCCCTGTTTATGGCCCTTTCCCCCAGCCGTGCTGCTTCCCCCCGGGCCCTCATCCACACCCAGTACCTTACACGGTGAGAGCCACTTCTCCACTCCCAGGGCGTGCAAACAGGCAGCTCTCGCCTCGGACTCACACCCAGCTGTTTGTCAGGGCCAGGATGTCCGGAACAACCACAGCCTGGGGAGCTGAGGCAGCGCAGACCTGCGTGTATTGTTGCCTCCGACCGCCCCTCTGCCCTCTTGAGCACAGCGCTGCGGGTGCGTGAGAAGACCATGTTCGCTCTGTGCTCACCCAGACACCTGAACAAATCTTAAATTAGAGGTTTTATTCTGCAGTGGGTCCCAGCATGCAGCCTACCCGCTCCTAACCCGTCCTCTCCTCAGGCCCAGGGTCTGTGTTTGCAGCTGGTGTTCCCTGCGACTACGCACCTCACAAATTGTAAGTCATATTTTCATTCTTGTCCAATTTAAACTACTTCCAGGTGGGTGTGGTGGCACGCACCTGTCATCCCAGAACTCTGAGAGGCTGAGGCAGAAAAACAGCAAGTTCAAGCCCAGCTTGGGCAATTTAGCAAGATCCTATCTCAAAGTTAAAAAATGAAAGCAGAAACGTTGGTATGTAGCTCAGCGGGAGGGCTCTGAGCTCTATTCCCAGTATTTAAAAAATTATTATTTAATTTTCCTTGAGGCTTCCTATTTGACTCACAGATTATTTGGAAGTACGGTACTTTACTTCCCCTGTGCTTGCCTATTTTCTTTCTATCTCCAAGTTACTGAATTCTGGCTTCATTCCATTATAATTAGAGAATGTATCTTGATTTTTTTAAAAATCAAGATAGGCTTGCTGTTGC